TCCACGGCAACTCTGATCCTCACGCTGCCCGGCCCCTTCTGCTTTTCCCTCCCGTTCCGGCCGGCGGTTCTTGTGCGGGGACCTGGTACCGCAGCCGGGCGTAAGCCGGGGCTGTCGGAGGGGAAGGGCCGGGAGAGCTGCAGGGCTCCTGTGCTCGGCCCTGGGCACCCCCGGGCCTCGGAGGGCGAGGGTGTCTGCTCCGGCCCCTCGGGGCTCCCCGCTGCCAATCAACTCAGCTCTTCTTTTTCTTCTCTATGCCAGGCGCATGTTCCCCACCTTCCAGGTGAAGATATTCGGGATGGACCCTATGGCTGACTATATGCTCCTCATGGATTTTGTCCCCGTGGATGACAAACGATACCGGCAAGTAACATTCAGCGTGCCCCACGGTGCCTGGTGCTGGAGCCCCGGCCCTGCCAGGGCTCGTGGATGTGCCCCAGAGCCCAGCGCGTGTCAGTGCGAGGCAAGGAGATGCGGGATGCGGCTGCCCTGGGGTCCCTTTCACACAGTTGCAACGAATTTGGGGCGGGGAGTGGCACAGCCGCATGGGCTGCAGACTCGCATGGCCCCTCTCAGCTTTCGCAGCCGCCGGAGCCAGACGGGCGCAAGGAGGGCAGAAGCGCAGGTTTCTGTGGGGCAGTGGGGCAGGAGCCGCCTTGTCCTACCCAGAAAAGCTCTCCCCATCCCCTTGCTCCATGCCTTCACTCGCCAAATGCCTGTTTTCCCCTAAGAAAAATCCTCCCCCCCACCCCGGTGTCCCTCGAGTGCCATAGCCTCTCAGCTGGGGCAGGTGGCCTGGTGGTGCCGACCCCACGGGCACCCCAGGGCTGTGCCATGCCTGCTGGGGAGCCCACTGGGTGCTTGGGTGATGAGAGCAGGTTTTGTGCTCTAGAAAGTCACCGGCCAGCTGAGCCATAAAACACTGACCTTGTGGAAACAGCAGCAGCATAGAAAGGCCTTGGAAACGGGCGACTCACAAAGCAGCGATGTGGTCTGGTTTGGAACCCCTTTAATTTAAAGACTGTGAAAAGCATATTATGTATTTAGCTTCAGATCAGGACGCTGAGCAGGCAGCCTGCGTAGGAATCGCAGGGTCCGATATATAAATATTTAGACAGATATCCAAATTCTCAGGGCGTCCTAGAAATGTTTGCTTGTCAAGGGAAGTGGGATATATAACATCCAATTGAGTATATCTTTAAAAAGTAATGTTTCTGCCCGAGTCCAATGGTGTCTAATTCCCTCTGTGCAAACACGGGCTTTTAAAGTAAACAGGCATATAGAAGATTGGTTTCTCTGTTTTAAATGTTACTGTTTAATATGTACTTTGAAAAAATGAAACAAGGCTGCTAAACTCTGGACCTGCTACTAATCCACATAACTTTCCGCTCTTCACGTAAAGCTAGAATGTTTCTGTATATATAGAGGGCTCCCTTTCACCCATTATTTTTTTTTTTAGACAAAAGGAGAGCTTTTGTGGATTTTCTCCCAAATCTGCACAGATAGCTATAAATTTCCTTTACCCTGCAGATTTCTCTCCTGTCAGTTCCATCGACGACCTGATAAAATATTATCTTCCCCTGCAAGAAGTCTGGCTGTGGAGAGGAGCATGTTCTTCTCGTTGCTGTAGGAAGTGGGAGTGGTGGGGGAGGCAGCGCTTGCCAGGCCAGGGGGACCCTGCCAGGCCAGATTCTAGGCTCCAAGGGTACTGCAGTGGGGGGCACTGGCAGAAGTCCCCTGGGCCGCGGCTGAGGATGCCTCCCCCTCCCGCAGGTACGCCTTCCACAGCTCCTCCTGGCTGGTGGCCGGCAAAGCCGACCCCGCCACCCCCGGGCGGGTGCACTACCACCCGGACTCCCCGGCGAAAGGGGCGCAGTGGATGAAACAGATCGTCTCCTTCGACAAGCTCAAACTGACCAACAATTTGCTGGATGACAACGGGCATGTAAGTGTTCCTGGGGCAGGATGTCAAACACGGGGCTGCATCGGGGGGAGCTCCCAGCACCGTGATTCCCGTGGGGTGTCCCTGTCCGCGCCCCTCCCCGGGGGCTCTGCGCCCCCGTCCTGTCCTCGGCTCCCCCGTCCTGCCCTAGCCCCGCAGCTGTTCCCGGGCAGGGGAGCCGGCAGGGCCAGGGGCTGCGCTCGCCTCTCTCGATGCTCCGCCTGGATCAGTTATTGTCTCCTTGCTCGTTTTATCATTCAGATCATTTTGAACTCCATGCACAGATACCAGCCGCGCTTTCACGTGGTCTATGTGGACCCTCGGAAAGACAGCGAGAAATACGCGGAGGAGAACTTCAAAACCTTTGTCTTCGAGGAGACGCGCTTCACGGCCGTGACCGCCTACCAGAACCACAGGGTGAGGCGGCAGCGGGGCCCGGGGCAACGAAAAAGGCGGGTTGGGGTCGCTCCGGAGGTACCAGTGGCGCGGACGCGCCTGGCGCTGGTTTCGCCCCTTCTCTCGGCTGCGGGTATCCGGGGGTACTCCCGCCTCCTCTTCCCCATCTGCTAAACCCATCACCAGATAGCGGGGGTGCTCGGCCGAGCGGCATCGCTGAACGCCGAGGAAGCGACGTGAGCTCTGGCCCCATCACCAGTTTCCACTCGCCCGGGGGGACCTCATTACCTATGTAAACCCGAGCCCGGGGCTGGTTGGGAAACTACAGGCTTCCCGCTGCGAAACGTCACTCACAATTTGGTTGGATAAAGCTGTTATTTTACTTCTCTAAGCTCGAAGCGGTCTGTCCCTCCCCAGAATATATGATAAAAAAACGAAACAAAACGAAACAAAACAACCCACCCCCCCTAATCTGATGCGAATTTC